ATCCAAGCCACGCTAACAAAGGCTACAAAAAAATTCTTTAATTCTTCAACTTTGCTTTATAGTTTTTAAGGTGAGAATTGTTTCTTCTAATACACAAATCACTTCCTGCAGAGTACTGTCAATTCTTATGGGAATGCAAAATTTCAGGACTATTATTTAGAGATATCAGTAACCTGAATTCATCATAACATATAATATTCAAAATTTTTAAAATCAAATTTATAAGAAAATATAGCTTTTATGAGAGAAAATGGTTATGTTATCCTAGAAATATTAGTAAGAAATTATTCACTGACAAAAAAATATTATCATCAAGTATGCTTTTGATCTACTCAACTTCTACACACACATACACTTAAGAACGGATTTTATTTATTATTTATCGCTATACTCTTGACAGTGGAGCGCTAAATTAAAATGCCACCCAGATGGCAAACACATCCTAATGACGTAAGGCCTGCCAAAGTGCAACTTCTCTCAAAGAAAGCAAGCAGTGTGGCCCTCTGGGAAAGCATCTCTACCTGTTCAACCGAGACTTTGAAAATGAGAGCACTTGGGGGTTAGACCTGGGAACCTGGCAACCAAAGGGCCCAGACAGATCCTCAGTGCACAAAGCTCTTGCCTGTTCATTCCATGCTACCTTTTGTTTAGGGCACCTCCATGTTTTGAGATTCACAATAAGCCTAGCTACCAAGTCTATGCAAAAGATCTTAGGTCAAGGCAAGCTCTAATGAGCCGTCTCTCTCTTTTATCATAAGCCCTCATATGATACGTAGTTTTCAGGAGATAGCAGGGACTGTTACTAGACTGCTGTTCTTGTCTATAAGAAACTCCCTGAAGTAAGGAATTGATTCTCCTTTAAAAAGAGCTAGTTTGCATCAAAAAGGTATGTGATTTAAATTTAAAAAAAGACACAATTAGGAAGATGAAGTTGCAGTACCTTTTTGAACCCTAGACTATAAATACTGTAAAAATGATCTTATTGTTAAATGCACAGTAGTGATAAAATTAAATCGAGGAAGAGCACCAGTTGATTTTTGCAACCGTGTAGCTCTCAGATATTTCTTAAGATTAAAAAAAAATGCCTTGTAGAAATATTAAGTTCTCAAAATGAACTCTGTTCTCATGAAACAAATGCAAAGATATCCTAAGAAGGAAAGAAGACATTTAGAGAGAGGTCGTTTATTTCATTTATTACAAAGTTGTAAAATTCCTTTTTTCTGCAAATACGTGCTGCTGATGGAGAATGGGAAGAATTCCCAAGGATGGAAGAGAACTAGAAGTCCAACTGAGCATATGTTGAATTATGGAAACAACTGAAACAGGTTAGAATGCTAACTACTGTTAACGCCACTGTTCTCCATCACCTCTGGCTGCTGTGATCCAGGGTTAGTGTCCCACACCCATGGTAAGAGCATGGAATTCTGGTTTAATTTGTCCAATCTTGTTATTTAAAAAACCTTTTTTAATGTATGTTTATTTTTTAGAGAGAGAGCATAAGCGGGAGAGGGCAGAGAGGGGCAGAGAGAGCGGGAGACAGAGAAACTGAAGCAGGCTCCAGGCTCTGAGCTGTCACAGAGCCCGAGGCGAGGCTCTCACCCACTCATCACTTGCGAGATCATGACCTAAGCCAAATTTGGATGCTAAACTAACTGAGCCACCCAGGTGCCCCTCCAATCTTGTTATTTTTAAGTGGTTAGTTTTTGCTCTCATATTTCTGATTATTTAGTGATTGATCTGAATGACCTTTTGTAAGCCAGCTTGCCAGTTTATACATGTTCTCTCTGCTATAAATAGCTTGATCATTCTGTGCCATAAACTCATTCATTTATTCAACAAATATTTATTGAGTACCAAACATGTGCCAGGCACCTTTTTCAGGCACTGGAGATACAGCAGCTACTAAAATACGAAAGTCCTGCCCTGGTGGAGCTACCACTCTAGGACAAGAGTAGGATGAATGAACCATATCATGTGCTAGAATACAAGTGCTGCAGAGAAAAATAAAATAGGGGAGGGAAAAAGAGGCTACGTATGGGCTGGGCGGGGGGGCAAGGTTGCAAATTTTAATCCCTTTCAACACCTGACGCTGTGAGATATGTGAGCGTAAAAACAAAAAGCTTCGGATTTTGGAGTCAGTTCCTAGCCTTACCATGGGATCTGTGCTGTCAGATTAATTCCGCAGCCATAGTCACATGTGGTAAACAAGTACTTGAAATGGGGCGACAAAATGTGCTAGTAAAAATACACACCAGATTTCAAGGACTACATATGAAAAAATATTGTAAAATATCTCAATTTTCTATATTGAATATACTTTAAAGGAATATTTTAGATATATTGGGTTAAAAAACTATTATTAAAATTAATTTTCCATTTTTTACCTCTTTAATGCGATTACTAGAAAATTTTAAGTTATATCTACAGCTTCCATCATAATTCTATGAACCGCACCGCTCCAGACCTCCTTTCAAATGCCCATGCAGTTTAACTGAGTACAAACTTAACTACACAGGCTCACTAAGAAAAGGGAGGGAGAAAGACCAAGGAAAATAAAATGACAGTTTGAAAGGGAGACACTGTGTTCTAATCTCCTGCTTCCTAGTGGTCTCTGGATGTATGATTAGTGACTTCTCTGCTTCAGTTTCCTAAAAAAGCAGTAATAGAAATATTTATTGTAAAGGACGAATGGACACATGCAAAGTGCTTAAAACAGTTCCTACTAATGAGTGTTTGCTCTTACTATTAAGTAAATATCTATACTTTTGGAAAAAGTGACCCCTTGGCTCTTGCACTGTGCCTCAGAATCGGACAGCCCCAGAGGCAGGGCAACCAGTGGACAGAACACGCTCCATATCTGAGAGGCACGGGTACAAATCTCATGTCTGCTGAATTGAATAACAACAGCACACCTTTGTGAAAGTTACGGACTTTTTCTATAGTCTTGGTTACCTCTTCTATGAAATATCTGTTTTCTACAGTTGTTTTAGGAACTAATGAAGCAGAGTAAATAAAACAAAAACAAAAACAAAAACAAAACCTCTGAGGGAACTGTCAACAGATGACAAAATGAAGACCAATCTTGGGCAGAATTCAACTCTTGTCTACACGGTACAAACTAACTGAGGAAAATTATCATAATGCCCAAGAGAATACTGCTTGGAAGCATTTGAGCTCTTACACATGTAACTGACATTCTCACTTTGAGTCATTTACACCCCCAAGAACATTAGGTAACTCTCTTAAACTTGCTACCAAATGCAACCAAAGAAATAGAACTACATTTTTTTTTTTTAAAAACCTCTCTTTTATTATTTCACAACATTCTTCAACTGAGATTAACTATCCCTTCAATCCACTGAAATCATCTAGACTATACACTGATTTTTCTCTCTCTTCCATCTGGGCCTGCCTTTTTTTTTTTTTTTTTTTTTTTTTTTTTTTTTTAAGATTTTTAAGTAATCTCTACACCCAAAGTAGGGCTCAAACTCACAACCCTGAGATCAAGAGTCACATGTTCCACCGACTGAGCCAGCCGGGTGCCCCTCTTAGAATTTAATTTTAAGGAAAGTATTTTTCCTAGCCTCATCAGCCTCTAGAGTTGAACAGTCCTATGGATGCCAGAAATGCGTGAAGGGAAGGCTTCTGTCTGGAAGTGAGGTACATGAGGGACAGCAACTTTCTCGTTCTCTCCTCTTTTTAATGGGAATGTATGCAACTCTACATGGTCCCTCCACTTCAACCTTCATGAAGACGTGCTGTGACTTCCTCATATTTCACAGGGGAAGGAGCATAGCCTTGGTAGGCTGGGGATCAGGACACCTGATGCAAGTCCCAGCTGGCTGATTTATTTACTCTGTGTCAGTGGGAAAGCCCTAACAACCCCAGACTTCCTGTGTGTCAACTATATAAAAACCTATTTTCACTACAGGAACACTGCAGTGGATGAAATGCCCTAAGAGATTTTGAAGAAGTTTGTTAAAGAGAACAGGACTGTTGCTATTACAATGGGCTGTCTTAAGAAGTGATGGTAGTCTCAAAAGTGCACTTTAGTGGTCATCGTGTTCCTTCCCCTTTCCTGGCTCAGAGTGTTTTGTTCCTCACACTTTCTGGGGTCAAATGCTGAAACAGAATGGAAAGAGTTAGGAAAACAGAAAGAGAACCCTTTAGTCGAAGACTTCAGTTAAAACCAGCCCAAACTTGTCTATAACACTGCATGTAGGCTTTAAACATGACAGGGAAACTCGGACTAGAAAGTTCCATGGGGCAAGAGCCCAGGGATGAACCTAACTAGCTAAGCTCTCCTCTCTCTCCAAAGTACCGAGAGCCTACTTGGGGCCAGTGGTGCAGGGCTGGGTGCCAGGATGCAACAGTAAACACAGTCCATAAAGACCCTGCCGGCAAGGGGCTAAAGAAGAGACAGACAAGATAAACAGATAACAGCACATAATTAAATTAATTACAACTGTGATAAGTGGCATAAGAGAAAAGTAAAAAAACCTTTAAAAATTCAGAGATCCGGAGAACACTTTCCTAGCAATTTCCTGAGACTAGGACTTCATAATCCCTGCTCATTCCTCTGATTAGCAACTTTCAAAGTTAAGAGCTTCTTACTTCTTATTTAATAGCATTTATGCTTTTCACTGTGTTATTTTTCAGCAGTGATAAAGGAGAGATGGTCCTCTTCTCTAGCTGTAAGAGCCCTCCAAATATTGGCTACAGCTTCCAAATAAGATTAATGTCCATGCTTAAAACATTAATACAGCCTCCAATTTTTGGCTTTGACTTCGTATAAAAAACGCTGCTGAACTTTAACAGAGATAAACGGCCTGTATTTTACCTACAGAGCATTAACAATAGTTCTCCCAAAATGAAAGTATTTTCAGTATCTTAATCAAAGTCATCTAATAGGAGCCCTGAAAAGCAGACAGCTATTCATCAATATCAAACATCACGCCACAATAGAAACAACAGCACGTGCATGCACAAACATCCATTACCTGCTTCCTTTTCTGCTGGGCCTAAAACATAAGAAAAGACAATTTAGGAAAAAAGCAGACTCTACCCATGTTGCTCACATAATGCAGAAAGTCAATTAAGCAAAGAAAAGTGGCCCACTTCCTATATCTAACTTAAATTTGATTTTGTTCTTGGTCTGATCCTGAGCATAAAGCAAAAAGCGCTTTATTTTTTGACATACACAAAAGGGGGTGGGAAGGAAGGGAGAAAATGAAATGCACAGACGTTTTCTCATATAATAAGCATGCATTTTGTTTTTCTGAAAATGGAGACTGCTCAGTAGTCCCACCTAGATTCCTAGGATCCATTTTCTAGAATATTCTCACAGTAGACTAGAAGTAAGAGACAGATGACTCCAGAAAGGAAAGAGCTATGAGAGCTCCCTGCTCACTGTTTATTTGGTCCCAGAATAGGATTTTCTCTAACACAGACTTGTTTTCATGTGTGATCCAGAGGAACAGCTATGTCTTTTGACCACCAGTGTTAACACGTTTGTCTAACTAATTAACAAAAGTTATCCATGGCTGGGACAATTTTATTTGTCCATGTTAAAATGGACTCTAGGACTAGAAAATAGAAATAACCTATGTTTTCGGTATTCTTGCACAATGGTCAAAAATACTAACTGGAATGGCCAGTTAAGAACAAAAGGATTCTCATAGGGTTTTTTTTTTTTTTTTTTTTGATTGAGTTTAAACACTTGAATAAAACAATACTGTGTTTATTCAAGTTGTGCACAAACTTTTTTCCCTTTACTAGATTTGAAAGGTTTTAATAGGTCTATTTTTATAATGATTCTTTCAACCCATGTTCACAACAATGTTCAAAACACGAAGATTGTTTGAATGAGTATTCATGATGTGAAAACCAATCTGTTTATCTTCTACTTTCCCCAAATGAGCTAATATTCATTGCTTTTGCTTTAACACAACATGATATCATAATTAATGATGTTAAACTGGTAACTAAGGAGGTTTCATGTTGTTACTCTCGTGATATAATATTGGTTGCTATAGTGATGGGATGGCTTTTTTGTTAATCACTCAGGAGGTTGGTTATTGCATGCTTGTTAGCTTGATCGGATTCGGAGAGAAAAAAAGGATATAACACAGCCAATTATAATCAATCTTTTTCATTGTACCACTTTTGATAAAACTATCTTCACATCAATAATTAACAAATTTATAATTCAGTACAATTTTATATTAAAAGTTACTAAAATTTTTCTAACAGAGGATTTGCCTTTATTTTTAGATATACGCATTTAACTTTGCAAACTTTTCCTAAGTGAATGCTACATGGATGACACAAGCCAGTTTTATGAATAACTGGAGCAAAAACTTTGAGGCCCTTTCTATCATTTTTAATCATATCAAAGGATTGTCCAATAAAGCCCATTTTTGTGTCTTTGCCACAAATTTCAATTTAGTTATTTCTAAGCATCTTAAACCTCAGTAATCTTAATGAGTGAAATCTGAAGGAAGAGGAAAAAAAAAGTGCAGTCCTCTCAAGAGATGTAATCATTCAAATGTGTTAATATATTGCAAGCAATGAGAAGTTGCAGGGAATTCTGTCAGTTCATTTTGGCCCTCATCATAATCAACAAGTTTCCTCCTTCTCTGAGCAACACTGTTGAACAGAAAATAAAATTATGTAATACTACACTATTACTGATCAGGAAAGAAGACACTACCTACAGTTGAAATGTTAGACATACTTACGGTAATGTCAAAAAATACAACCCATGAAAACACCTTTTGGTTCCCTGAAAACTCAAAATAAGAACAAAGGACAACTTAAGCACGAATCCTGGGTCTTTCATTCAAGCAGAGTCCCAGGAGGCATATTAAAGCAATGAATAGGAAAAAGCTCTTCAGTTCACCAGCTGAGATTTTAATGAGACATTTCCCTTTGCCACGGTACAGGTTTGTTCAGGAAAGGAAAGAACTTCTCACAGAAAATTCAGTTAATAGGCATTGTTGGCTCTCACTGCCACTTCGGCAATTGCTCACTGCACTGACCTTCTATTTTGGCATATTCTGTGAGTCTGGTGTAATTGATCAAGGCAGCTTTCTCGAGACATTTTCTGACCACTTTTTTCACCTCTTCTGCTGGTATGGGAGTGGCAATATCTTTCATTAAGACCTAAAGAGAGGAAGACAGGGAGAGATTGCATAAAACAGATACTAAAATCAAATTATACAAATTGTCCTATATCTATTACCAGGAAGGGGTCCTAGGTAACATTGAGGGAAAGTAATGAGTCGGCACATCACAACTGGGAACATAATCCTCCAATCTTGGCTCCTCCTGTCTAAGCCTCATTTATGCACATCAAAACCTCCCCTAGGCCAAACCACCATTCAGTGTGAGGACTGTCACTTTTCCTCCAGGGGCCCAGGACACCGTTAGAGCAGCTGTTTCAGATCAGGATTATAGTCCTTGGGACAAGCAATAAAGTTTCTCTTGCACATCCCTAATTTAAATGCTTTAAATCTTTTGAGCGATATATATGAAAACAGTAACAAAGTTCCATTAATAACAAGCACTGTTTTTGAGCTCTATAAAAATCAAGATCTCTAATTCTCACAAACTAATTCCTGTGATCTGCTGAGAGGGAAAAAAATCTTTTGTTTTAGTGAAATGAATGGCATTTCTGTGTTAAAACACACAGAAACTTTCTGAAATTAAAAAGAACAGATTATTTTCTGTTGAGTTCTTAACTGTATTTTTAGATTTTTTTTCCTTTATAAGTATTATTATTGGCAAGGCAAAAATGCAATCATATCCAGAATTCAAGATATTATGTATTTAAGCACTTTTATAATGACTCATTGATAATTTTCCTTAAAACTTTTTCAGTGATAAAATTGCTTACAGTCAGTTTTGATTATACCATTAGTCCAGATCTATTTTTCCATATATTTAATGCAGCTTTTCTGGTTTTGCTTATATTCAAATTATAAAATATATGGCAAAACGTGAGTATAAAGAAGACAAGAACAGTAAGTATTCTTACTATTCTATTAGTCTTTCACCTTAAAGAATCATCAAAAGAGCATGAAAACATCCATGCTTTATTACTTCATTCTCTTTTGATCAGCCTCGGCACGAAGGATTTTATAATCTCAAATTTATTCAACCACTTAAGCACTGGTGGTCTTTCACAACATATTTTAATTTTGTCAGGCAAGGTTTCCTTTTCAAAACAGCAAACTTTATCACTGAAAAACGTCCTTCCCATCAAATTCAATTATTCTTCATAGTTTCATATTAAAAATTTTTAACATATTTTACACGTATCTGGAACTTTAATTAGAACTACACATCAGAGTCTTTATAGGCAGAAAAACCCTTCAGCTCATAGTAAAAAAAAAAAAAAAAAAGCTTTAACGTGTACTATTATTTTTAATGTGATTATTAGTAAGATTTAAATTTAATATTAATTTTGTCCCACACGCAGAATGATGAACTTTACTATCAGGCCTTCCCCTGGTGGTACACTTTTAAATAATAGAGCTGCTGAAATTAGAATGTATATGGTCTGTTACAGAGACGAGTCCAGGAATGAAATTGGGTTATAGTTCATAGTATCCAGGAGCTGGGTATTTAATTTGGAATGGAAGGAACTGTATCCTCTTTCCTGGCAAAGGGCAATGTTAGGGCGCAAGTGCGAAAGAGAGACCCAGCTTGTCTCCTGTATCTTCTCCATTTCTTCCAAGGCATAATAAGTATGAAGAATTCACATGGAGATTTATTTTTTCTAAGATGTCAATAAATACAGAGACGTGAAAATGAAGAAGGGGCCCTCCCATTTCTGTCTCAGTTCAGCAAGAGACATGATTAGCGACTATAACTGGGAAAAAGGTCACTGTTCATCCCGCCGCCTGTCAGGGCGTGAGAGCATCTCTGCTATTACTAACTCTTCCATGATGGGGGGAGGATGGAGGCTCCACCGTGGAAACCGGAACACAGACAGGTTGTATTAGGTCCCCAGGATGGGATGCCATTCCAAAAGTAAAGCTCTCTGTAAAGATTTTATCTTTTCTATGATACCTTAATGAACTGGATGAAATGAATACTTTGAAAAGCCTAGGTTACATGCAGCTTTATTATAAAAGTTCAAATAAAACAGGTCACTACTATAATAATATTTCTATCACATGATGCACAGGGAACAATAAGACAGGGATATACAGCGGAAACCAATGTATAATCCAAAGATCTCATTACATTCATCAGTTCTAGCCCTCATCTTCCAAGTGCTCAAATCCGTGAAATCCCTTTTTGCTTTTAATAGAAGTGCTAATAAACAACCTAGAATTCATTTGGCAGGAAAGTGGGCAAGACCAAGTGTTTGAAGTCAATAAATCAGGACCAGAACATTCAAATCATGAGCTATAAATGATCCTTAGAAATTGTTTCTAATACCGATAAGGAAAAGGAATTGCCCACATTGCTTAACTGTTAGGATCCACCCAGCATATAGTTTTATAAATATATCAAAATGATTCTTCCCTTTCAAATTTAGTCTGCCACAAAAACAGGAGTGAAGAATGTATTTTCACTAGTAAGTTATTTTAGCGTGGATATGAAAGCCTTGTTTGCTATTTAGCTGAGGGAAAATGAATTTCTTCCATTTGTGTATTCATTTAAAGTAACATAAGTTGAAGTGAATTCTGAGATTTAGAATGAAAGGCATGATATGTTTGTAAATACTAAGTGATAAACTCTTATAGGTGTGACAAACATGACAGAAGTTCAAATAAGTCGGGGTGGAGGGTGGTAATAAAAGACAACAATCAAGTCTGAAAAACATAATTATACTTGACTAGAAAATCTCATGAGGGAAAGAAAGAGGTGGGGAAAATGGATACTACCAAGATGCCATCCACTCGGCACAGGATGGCCGGGGTGGGCTTCAGAAAGGTTTCGGACAGGAAGAAATAGTCAATAGAAGGAGTTGTAGTAAGAGCAGATGACAAAGTGATGAAATGTGACCAACAGCCTCAGGGAACACACTTGCGAGGAATGGGCTTATCTGCCTGGGTTAGTAACTAAAATACACAGCCACTAAGAGTGCAAATAGTGTTTACAAAGTAGTGTTCAAACATACCCTTTCGAGTAACGAAAGCGTAGCTTTTAGAGCACCCTCAGGTCGTCCAAAGGGAAAACAGTATCTTTAAAAACAAAAGGAGGAACAAAAAAAGTCACACATTTAATATCCAAGACTGCTAAATAATTCCCTCTTCTATTATTTGGCATTATTAAAGAACAGTGAAAGGTTGGTTAAAATAGCATCAGCCCATTTGGGAAAAACTTTAACAGCAGAAGTTTACCTAGTTCATGCTGTAAATTTCTTTAAACAGTAAGGCTGTCAACTGTGATGAAAAGGTTCTACACTTTTGACGATACGTGTTCAGAAAGGTCCTATTAAAGAGATAATTAAAACATATTCCCTAAACATTTCTTAAGGTTTGTTGTTATCAAGCCCTATCATCAACAAAATGACTTCGCCCATCTCCTCCTGTACCTGTGTGGCTTGAGATGGAAATACCACCCCCCTTCCCCACCAGTCATAACTTCTAGTACAAAAAATGGCTTTCAGCTCTCCCTTTTTGTCTTCTGTGCCGGTGGCACCTCCCCACATAAAACACATAAACCTTGGGGGGCTCTGCAGTTTGCCAGCAGAGTGGGTCATCCTCAGTCTTTCCAGTCCTGTGTATTCCTAATTCACCCCCACAACTGGAGGACAGGTTACATTAGCATTCTGAAATCAGGGTCAGAAGCTGGGGGAGTGAGTGGGCTCCTTGGAAGTTCGTTGACACATGGTGGTAACAGATTTATGGCTCTTTACACGGGAGTCCCTCTTCAGGTCACTTTCCACTTAAAGAGCAGAAAATGTCAGGGCCACTTCATCCTGCTGGAGCTCCTCGCTTTGTTGAATCAGTTCAGTAAAGCACCTCGCCCCCCCCCAACCACTGCCCCCCCCCCCAAGATCAAGTGCTCCAGGCAGCTGAGCTGTCCACAGGCTGCCACTTGGATCTGTATTAGAAATCTTGACACTAGTAACTTGAAGTTTGTATATTTCCATGTCCTTTGCCATTATTCAGGGACTTGGTTAACACATCTTCTAAGATGTAACTCACTAAGAAATTACTGTTTTCACAAGGCAATTTGAACAGGTTTCCTTAAAAGCACGTATATTTTAAATTCAAATTATTTTACAGGAGTGAATTTTGAAGAGTGATTAAAGAGTGATTAAAGACTGATTTCTCACAAAGCAGTTGTTAAATTTATATTAGGGCTGGGTTTTAGTTTTATGAAACTTTTATTAGTTTCAGATAAATGCAAAAAAATGTCATAAATCCAGTCACTCAAATTTTTCTTCACAACAGTGTTTATCATTTCATTTACTGTCAAAAATTTCCTTCACTTACGCTTGCCTCGATGCATTCTCTCACTCCTCCCTCTGCTCCCGTGCACAAAAACCACCACCAATTTATTTTTGATAGTTTTGTTTCCTGGGCAGTGTTGCCTTTTAGAGCATTAGCAAATTAGCAAAGTAGCTTTCATCATTTTGTGTACCATAAACCTTAATCCATGTTTAAATAAAACACAAATTGGGTTCTTATAGTCCCCTCCCCCTGCTTAAATCTTTTCAGTGTATTTGCATAATCCACCCATTGTCTTTCCTATTGTTTATTTCCATTAACCTGTGGGTGACACATTTTATGAATGGAATGTTACTGATCCCCAGATTACATTTAGCATTTCAGGGCTCTGAGGTCCCACTGGGTATGTTCTGAATTAGCATTAGCTGCCCATGATGTGTAAATAATTCAGCACATTTACAGAGTACAAGTAATCCTGAATCAATAAAGTACAGAAAATAACTACACAGAAGCTTAATTAATCTTTACAAAATGAGTTTTAAAAGAAAGGAATAGTTTTGTTCTGCCTTTCAGGATAAATATTTTGGGTTTTTACCACTTTGATAGCTCTCTAATAGCAAAGCAAAGGGGAAAATACTCAATTATCAAATAAAATTCAACAAAGTTTAATATCTAATCTGAATAAATTAAAATCACCCTGATTCCTAACATAGTAAATTAATTACACAGATAAATGAATCTGCATAGACATGTCCCACAAATTGTTTCCTTTCCTTATCCATTTTAAAATACAGGATTTCTTTTTGTTAGAGTTATATACGCACATAGTCTGAAAGGAAACTTCTTTTAAAGACTTTTTATGAAAAAAAATTTCTTTATGTCATTTCCACCCCACTCCCCAAGTAAATTTCTTCAGAAACAAAAAGTTTTTAACTTTTAGCTACTTCTTTCAGTATTTAAAAGTTATATTCCTAACCTACATGCTAATATTTCTAATTCTTGATTTTTCAGTTTTAAATATGATTCTACTAACTTTCCACTATGGAAGTACTTAGTTTTTAATAGATTTAGAGGCATAAAGGATATATAATGAACTGCACATATTTAAAATATATAATTTGATAAGTTTTGACATATGTAAACACCTGTGAAACCATCACTACATTCAACTTAATATATATATTCATGACCCTCAAATGTTCCTTCCCCACCCACTGGGCCCAGGCAACCACTGATTTACTTTGTCATGTGGAATAATTTGTATTTTCTATAATTTTATGTAAGAGAAATCATAGCATGTACTTCTTTGCATGTAATTTCTCTCAATATATTTTTATGCTATCAACAGTTCATTCCTTTTTACTGCTCAGAAGTATTGCAATACATTGTTCATTCCTCGCTGATGGCCATCTGGCTTATTTTCATATTGTGTTTATTAGGAATAATGCTGGTATGTTAAGGTTTGAACACTCACATAAAAGTCTCTGTGTGGACATATGCTTTCATTTCTCTCGGGGGAGTATCTACAAGTGGAATGGCCTAGGACATAGGCTAGGTCCAGTTTCACAACCATGCCAACACCTTGGGGAGTAATTTTTAAATTTTAGCTATGCTAATGACAGTAGTACCTCATTGTATTTTAGTTTGTATTTCCCTGAAGAGTAATGATGTTGAGCATCTTTTCATATGCCTTTTCACCATATGTCTTTGGTGAAATATCATCATTTTTTATTGAGTTGTTTCATTTCCTACTAAGTTTTAAGAGTTATTTATATATTCTGGATAAAAAGTCTTTTGTGGGATACATAGTGTGCAAACAGTTTTTCCCATTCTGGAATGTATCTCTTATTCTCTCAATGTCTTTGGAAGATCAAAAGTTTTTAATGTTGTTGAAGTTTAAGGTAAAATTTTTCCATTTATGAATCGTGATTTTGGTGTTTAAGAATCTATGCTTAGTCTAAGGACAGACATTTTCTGTTTTCTAGATCTATCCATTTTAGGTTAACTTTTCAATCATGTATGAGGTATGGGTCCAGGTTAATATTTGTTGAAAAAAAGCATACTTTGTAAATTATCTTTATATATTTTTTGAAAATCCATTGACCATATGTGTATGAGTCTATTTCTGAACTGTCCATACCACACTACCTTGAATACTGATTTCTGAGCAAACATCCTTGCCTTTTGATCTTAGGTGAAAAACTTTCAATCTTTCACATTCAGTCTTCATATTAAGTATGAAGCTGTAGGTTTTCCATTAAAGCCCTTAACAGGTTGAACATAAGACATTTGGTAATAATTCTCTTAATAGTATGGTTTACTAATTCTATCTTGTGTTATTTCTACTTTTGGCTGTTTTTGCTCTCTTCATTGGTTATATTTTACTATTTTTTTTCATATGCCTAGAAATTTTTGACTGGACGCTAGACAGTGTTGTTTTACATTATTGGTGGCTCAATATTTTTGTATTCCTCTATTCTTGACCTTTGTTCTGGAATTCAATGAAATTACTTAAAAACAGTTTGATTTATTTGAATTTTGATTTTAATTCTCATCAGGAGAGATAAAAACAGGGCTAATTTTTTTTTCCATTACTGAGGCAAAGCCGTCTCAGTATTCTGATACTCATGACTTAGAAGATTTCCAATCTGGGTGGTAGAAACTGGTACTCCTCTTAGCTGTGTTAGCTTTAGGGATTATCCTCTGTAATTCTACCACAGAGAGAAAGGATTATTTGCCTGACTTTAAATAGTTTCCTTACATACTTGCTCAGATCAATAGTTAGTTGAAGACTCTAAGGGGACCCTCAGCAAATACCTGTAGGTCTCTTCTCTCTTTCTTTAGAACTCTGATCTGAGAATTCTGGCTGTCTTGTCCTTCCTGGACTCCCACCTCTGTCTCAAGTCAGGGTCCACTGAGATTCTCCTCCCTGGGCCATGGCCTGGAAACACTGTCCTCACGCTAAGCAGAGGCAATGAAAGGGCTTATTCATTTGTTTCTCATCTCTCAAGAATCACTTTTATTCACGGTCTTATATTTAATGTGTTGAAAAGCATTATTGCACATATTTTAGTCTTTAAATTTTTTTTTGTTTCGGATGACAGGATAAATATCATCCCACCTTAGACATATGTTATTATTTTTTTTTTTACTACTTTACCCAACTGTAAATGTAATTCCTGTCCTTCCTATCTTTCTAACACAGTTATACCATTTGGGGGTTAAATAGAGTATTTATATTATGTAATATCCTAGATAACTGAGACACAGTACTATGATTTCTTATGTGCCATCATTTTGTTTATATTTAATACCTGTCTTTATTTTTATTAATATTTTTTTGTTTATTTTGAAAGAGAGCATATGCACAAGAGTGCATGTGTGCACAGGGGAGGGTCAGAAGGAAAGGGAGAGGAAGAATCACAAGAATCTCTGCGCTGACAGCAGAGTCCAATGTGGGGCTCATCTCACAACTGTGAGATCATGACATGAACAGAGATCAAGAGTCAGATGCTCACCTGATTGAGTTACACAGGCGCCCCTAATTTCCTCTTTTTATAGACCTTATCTAATGTAATTCCAAATTCCAATATAACTAATATAATCTAATTAATATAACTCCAAACTCACTTCCAAATGGGTAAATTCTCTCTCAACATATTAAAACATCTTAGTATTTTGTCAATTTAATTTACTTGAAGAATTTTTCTGACCTGCTCATATCAGAACTGGCTGCTTTCAAAGCTCAGCCATCACTTGGGGTTTCTATTAACAATCACCATGAAGATTCCCTCCTCTGTAATGCCGATTTTCAGTTTCAGGGATCTTAATTATCCCTCCTTGTTTTTTCCTTTGTCTGGAATTTGTACTCTCCAGAAAGGGATTATGGGAAGCATATCTTTTTTTTTTTTTTTTTTTTTTTTTTTTTTTTTTTTTTTTTTTTAAGTGGGCTCCATGCCCAACATGGAGCTTGAACTCATAACCCCTGAGATCAAGAGATACATGCTCTACTGGCTTTAGCAGTCAGTCACCTCAAGAAGCATATCTTTTAAGGTCCTAATGTCTGAAAATATTTTTCTACTACTACCCTTAAGACTGTTACTGGTATAGAATTCTAGGTTGAAAATAATCTTTCCTCAGAAATTTGAAGACAGTGATGCATTGTTTTCTGAATATCTGTATTGCTCCTCCCATCAGAATGAAAGTTGAAGAAAAGGAACTTTAACTTTGTTCTCTGCCTGACACACAATATGTACTCAATGTATGTTTATAGAACGAATCAATGTTGAGAAGTAATTCTGATTCTGGATTCTTTGTATTTCAGGATCTTCTCTTTTATCCCCAAGATGCTGGAAGTTCATGAAAATGTCCCTGATGAGTATCTATTCTAATCCATTGTGCTGGGTACTCAATGAGCTCTTTCACTGTGAACACTTATGTCTTTTACTTCTGTAAAATGTTTTTGAATAAATGTATTGACAATTTCCTACTTTCAGCCTTATGTTTCCAGAATTCCTCTTACTTATGGTGATGAAACTCCTGAGCAAATCCTTAATTTTTCTTATCTTTGTATTTCCATTTTCCTACCTGTCTCCTATTACTTTCTAGAAGGTTTCATTAACTTAATTTTTAATAGCGTGTATGTGTTTGTATTTGTTCCTTGAGGTTTATTCATTTTTTTTTCTTTTTAACAACATCCTGCTTTTGTTTTATAGTTGCCCTATCTTCTTAAACCTCTCCAACGACATCAATAACAGATTTTCATTGCCTTAGTCCCCACATTAATTTTACTTTCCCCATGTTTTCCCAATTGCTCTTTTCGTATTTACTTATTTTAGACTCTATTTTCCATATTAAATACTTTCCTCAAATGTCTGATGACCTTGGTTGTCTGATCATTTTCAAAAGTGTGGCAGTAAAAACCTGAATGGAAGCTATATGCACTTAAGGTGGGTATGTGTAGGCTATGGTCTTTGCTAAAGAAGAATCTGGCTGGGCTGTTCCAGTGGGAGTCTTTATTGTCCATGGCTTTAGGTCTTTTCTCTTGAGCTAGTCAGACTCACAGGGGAAGACTTATAATATGCCTAGAAGGTAATGGTTAAGTAACAGCTTTCTTGAACTATTACAGAAGTATATTAACCCAAGTTTTCAGTAATGATGAAATAATTTCAAGTCTGATCTCTGCAACAAGACAAGTATGTTGTAAGACACAACATACAATAGCACCTGGTAAAAATGATTGAAAAAAAAAGGGAACATATTGGCAAATTTCTGTTTTTAACCATGAGGTTCTGTTCAGCTAACTATAATCGGGGGGAAAAATATTAAGATTTTTGACCTTTCACTATGCAAATGTTTCTTAGTTTAAATGGTTAATTTTTTTGAGCAAGAAACTGTGCCAGGCAGTGGGACCCTTGTTCTCAGAAAATATAAATAAAAGGATAACTAATGGCTTAAAAAATGGGTGTTATAACTATGTGATAAACGACTAGTGAAAAGTACAGATGATATATGCTGAAAGACTTCAGTTTTTCAGTCTTTGCTGGAATGACTGAGAAAGGCTGCACTGTGAAGACAGGACATAAGAGGTTCCTTGCTTGGTGATTCTGAGAGAAGGGAAGGGACTAGTCACCAGAGCTGGGGAAAGAGGCTACTCAAGAATGAGAAATGCACACGTGAGAAATACGTTCCACACTGGACACTGAAGGGCGAAGGGGTCTACCTTAGTGAATGGTGGAAACTGAATGGTGGTGGGCTTAGAAACAGACCACAGACTGAGGAACGTGGATCTCACCTTGCAGGCATTGGAAAAGAAGCTACTGGTAGTTCTTGAGTAGCAGCAGAAAGACATGATAAACAGCTGTGGGGGATTGGAGTGTTGAATGAAGAAAGCAAATACTTAATATTAATGAATGGAATATATATACCTGAAATGGCTTATCTGATTTTCTAAAAGGGAAGAGAGTCTTTCTTTTATCTCCTCAAATCTCTCTTTTTCTTCCATTGAAACCGTTCCAATTCCATCAGGCCTGGAAAAAATCAAAATCAGTCATTTATATTGATAGAATGGTTATTATCATGTATTTTATATCTTTATATATATATACATACATACACACACACACACACACACATATATATATATATATCTTTATTTATACACATATATTTTGAGAGAAAAGAAAGTGCAAGTGTGGGAGGGGCACAGAGAGAGGGAGAGAGAATACAACGTAGGCTCCATGCCATCAGTGCAGAGCTCAACACAGGGCTCAGTCTCATGAACCCTGAGATCATGAGCTGAGGTGAAACCAAGAGTTGGATGCTTATCCACCTGAGCCACCCATTGCCCTTGTGTGTGTGTGTGTGTGTGTGTATGTGTGTGTGTGTGTAATCTTTATATTTCTCTGAAGAATAGTTAAGAAAAATGTATACTGGTTCACAGTATACATATTACTTGCATCTATAATGGAAATTTATTTAAAGGAGGTATTTGTAGTTATTTGTTTCAGATTTTAACCTGGAATGAATGCAATCGAACTATTCTGTTTTAGACAGCCTTCAAGGTAAAGGAGTACAATAAATATTTTCCAGGTCTACAGAAAACAATGATTAGTCCTTGAGATGACAGTGAAAAGTGTTTTATAGTGGCATCAGATATTTGACAAATTGAATAAATATCCCCTGGATAGAAATATTATAAAAGCATACTGAACACAAACTAAAATAACTGCTCTTCTTCCAAATAAAAATTAAGCTAATGTGAAACTGGAGATTTAATTTTAATTGAAAAAACACAGAAATTCTGAATAGATGTAGTGGTTTATCGTACCATATTTTTGTTTATTTAAGTGTGTCAGCACACAAATTTTAACTTATTTAAAAATAAAAATAAATACTTGAATAAAAACATATAGAGAAGACAGACCATCTGTGTTTCAGGATTTTTGTGCTTAGCCAAATATCCCTATGGAATCAAGGCAAGATCTCATTAAAATTTTTAGAAGTAATTATGAAGACTAAACAGACATCTTCTTTTACTAAGATCAGGATTAAAAGTATAAGATATTTCTAATGAATAATGGATTTAGAATTTATACTATATAAGTTTAAGTCTGCTTGTGCAACAATCATCAAAAATTTTGAACATACGAATTTTAACTTAGTTAATGCAAAGAGAAAGATGTATTGATCTCATTCAAAAAGTGTATATTTCAACAAAATGAATCTTTTGGATTTGATAATTAACACTAATCATTTCTTCCTCAATTAGCTTATTTTTCTAAAGATTATATTTTAGTTACCAAAGACATATATTTATAATTTTAACTAATTTTTAATGTTTATGTATAAAATGGGTAGAAATGATTATGGAAATGCTTCATATAACTTTCCCATAAGGTTTTTATTTGGTTCCCCCACTCTTGTTTTACATATATGTATATGTATATGTATATGTATGTATGTGTGTGTGTGTGTGTGTATCTTTGATGCCTGCAACTAGTCAATTAGGATAAAAGCAATTAATTTTAAAGTTATACCTGAATCATTATGACAAAGACCTTTTATTGATATCAAGGCATCTCTTAAGTCTAAAAATTTCTTTTCCACTATAGAGTAAATAATTTGTTATTTCAGAAACTCACTGCTGCTAGAATTTATGCTGTGAAATTCTTATAATTATACTTCATCCTTAAATAGGGAAACATCAATTATTTAATTTCATAGAATAATACATTGCATCAGAATGTGAACTCCAGAAAAATATTCAAATATTTTTTCAAATATTTTTAGGAAGGAGAAAAGAAAGTCTGAGCTAGAAATTACAAAACAATGAACTTTGAGCTAACCCAATGTTTTATAATAATTTGTAATATTATAGGGGCACCTGGGTGGCTCTGTTGGTTAAGCATCCAACTTCAGCTCAGGTCATGATCTCACAGCTTGTGAGTTTGAGCCCCGCGTCGGGCTCTGTGCTGACAGCTCAGAGCCTGGAGCCTGCTTCAGATTCTGTGTCTCCCTCTTTCTCTCTCCCCTCCCCCGCTCATGCTCTGTCTCTCTCTTCTCAAAAACAAATAAAAACATTAAAAAAATTAAAAACAAATTTGTAATATTATAATCATTGGTAATAAAATGGATTTTTCACATAGCACTTCAGAATAAATGCCCACTGAGAAAACGATAACACAACCCAGACTTAAAAATAAGTACACTTAAAAATAAGTACAATAATGATCACAAAAGTTCAAGTGGAGAGTTCTATATCAATCATTAACCTGGGAATTTGAGCATTCAGATGAAAACTATAGCCACATTATGTTATTACACAGCACAAAAACTCATACCACGTTGTGGGTGGGTATTTCACCTATGCAAACTTTGATGAAAAAGGGCAAGGAACTTATCTTTAGTTTTCTGATGACTGATATGGTTCTTTGGCTTTGTTCTCTGGCAGACTCCACACAGTTATGTTAGAGTCAACCTTGCTTCAACTGTCAAAGGAGATTGTGATTCACAAGGATACAGCAACTCGTCCTGCCATATCAAACTTCACTTGGGCACCTCACCTACCTGACACAACGGAGCCAGGGGTTTAGGTGATGACAAGCAAGAAAGGTAAGTCAGGGGAACATCACTTGTGTGAACTTTCACTAAAATAAAGACTGTTATACACAGCGAAGGGCTGCCATTTTAGTGAGATTATCTCATTAGGTATAAATCTGACCAGTTAAACACAGGAGTTAGTATTTTGGACTTGTCCTTATTTACATGCCTTTAGTGCATATACGAGACTACGTACTGAATATTAGGTATATGGAATGGGCATCTATACCTAAGTGATGGTAACAAATAACTTAGCTGCAGTCATGCCTACAGGTAACAGCTCCTTCTAAAATTATTCTTCGTAATAAACACAAATATCTCTGTGTCATCAGATCTTCCTTGTCATGGTTGTTATCAAAACAAATATAGCAATTACCAGAAACAAAATTCTTAACGTGCCCCTGGTACTATGCTAGCTGTTTTATATGCATAACATAAGAGGCTCACAGCAATCCATTCTGCAGCCTCCAAGAGAGGAGGCTGCTGAGGGTCATGGGGGTGAGGTGACTTTCCCAAAGTCATACCGATTATAAGTGCAGAGGCCTGGACTTGAACCTAGGTCTCTTGCATTCCAAATCCAGGGCTCTTAGTGCCCACGTCTTATTCTCTTTCCCCGATATTTTCACAGAAAATAATAAAGAGGAAAAAAATCTGTGTTAAAAAATGGAAACTGTATCTGAGAAGCAATGTGGAATATTTCAAACATACTTACTTACATCAGACATTTTCTATATTACTCACATATGGCAGCAAGCTTAAAAATTGATAAAATTTAAAATACCTATAGGGCACCTGGGTCGCTCAGTCAGTTAAGCATCTGACTGCATTTTGGCTCAGGGCATGATCTCACAGTTCATCAGTTTGTGAAATCAAGGCCCAGGTGGGGCCCCCTGCACTTGGGATTCTCTCTCTCTCTCTGCCCCTCCCCTGCTCATGTGTGCTCTCTCTCAAAATAAATTATATTAAAAAAACAAAACAAAAACAAAAACAAAATACCTGCCACTGAATCAGTAATTCTATTAAAAAAATCTCAACAAAGTCAGTTCTGAAATTTGTACTTGTAGAAAGCAGCTTTAAGAGAAACTTAAAACAGTTATATATTATGAACATTCATCTAGTAGACCCAAGGTAATAGAAATTTAAAATAATAGCTTTACAAACTTAGCTTATAAATTAGTTTCTGTCAGTTATACCTTCAAAACATATCCTGGTATGGCTGCAGCCTCGTTGGTCTCCCTTTTCTAGTCTTTTCTATGTCAGAGTCTTGGCAACACACTAGGGTGAGCCTTTTGCAAGTATGAGTCATACTTTGTCATGCGAACAACTCGTTGCAAAAGCCCAAACCTTTATAATGCTCCGCAAGACCTGTTAGGACCCCCTCTCCCCACACTTAACACTCTGATCTTCTCTACCGCTCACAGCAGACCCCCCACCCCATGATCTCCTAGCTAGCCCTCAAACACAGAACACATGCCTCAGGGCCTTTGCATATGCTGCTCCCACTTTCCTAGTCACACATGGCTTGCTCACTCCCTTCTCATCTCAACCTAAAGGACCAGAATCAGTGAGGTTATCTCTAAACACCTGAGGTAAAGATGTAATCTCCCCTTCCCACAGGTCTCTTCTCCTTTAATATGCTTTACTGCTGCTCACTGTGCATACCGCCATCACCCCACACATGACAGACTTGTTTTTATTAACTGCCTCCTTTGTGCTGCAACCCTGGTACCCAGAACTGGCAGACTGATGTTCAATACAGAAGTGCTAAAGACATGAATAAGTGATACATAGAATATAAAAATACCAAGTACAGATTATAAAAATTCATGAATTAGTAATATCAAAAATATGATTGCTTATTAGTATTAGATTATTTGCAATGTTTTAAATCCTATCACAGTGGGTAAAACAGGAAATTTTTTGATGAACAAACAGAACAGGAATTAACTCTAATATTCTGGGTAAAAGAGTTCTAAAAAAAGTTAGCTATATTTACACTTAGCAGAACATTTTTAGTATTTACCTGTTATTTAATTATTAGTGAAATCATTTGCTTTAAATCTCAAAAACAGAATTTTTCCCCCCGAGATAATAAAAGTAAAATAAATAATGCCTCTTTGACACTGACATCTTTTCAGATGACGTTAAAATATGGTTATTGACAATTCTACAATAAAAAGCCAATTTTCTGATTCAAATGTTACTTGGAGCTTAATTCTATGACTGATAATTAAATATTAAAGCTGTTCCAATGACACAAAAAGACCTTCTCAGGTACCAAGATTTAAATCTTTCCTTTTTTTCTTGGGGCCTGCAGCTACTGAAGTCACATGATTTTAAGAAAACTGCTCCATGAAAGTTTAAGATATTAACAAATTATAAAACACAGTGTAATAGTAGGTGCATTTCTTTTAATTATAGACCCAAA